TCAGTTTTTGATGGGCTTTCGAATGGTGTATGAATTATTTGTGTTGTTATTACAAGTGTTGCTGTGACCCCCTAGGAAAAGGTTATGCCCCGCCCTGTATGTAAACAATTGCAATTTCATTGAGTTGGTACCACACAGAATTATTCCAAGAGTTCAGTGTATTTTTTTCATTGAAAACACACACACACACGATCCTATTTAATTACAAAGACAGGAAAGACATTCTTAGTTGACATGTAAATGTCCTGTTTGAAAGATGGCTTCTTCCAAAAGCCTCTGCAAATGAGCTGATTGATTCCTTCAGCCTCAGATATGGGAGTCTGTGATCCAGTAAGTTTGCTGAAAATGAAAGCTGGTATTAGAGCTGGGGTTTTCACTGTGACGGTGAAATTAGTAGGGATAATTTTGGGTGGAGAAGCTGTTGACGTGATTTTGGAGAACATACAGCTATCAGGAAGGAAGAGAACTTCCTTTGCTCAGGAAAAAGCAATCCTTTTCTTTAGCTCCGAGAAGAGGAGAATGTCGTAGGGGCAAAAAAGCAAATATTGGTCATGGAGCTTATGAAATACCTCCAATTAGGAACACCAAGCAAGTCGTGTGAAAGGGTTGCTTATTTTTGTGCTCTCTGCTGTGGGAGAAAATCTCATCATTTCTTCCAGAGATAAAATGCTCAGACAGAGTTGCAAAAAAAGAAACTCAGTGGGCTGCAATGTGTTTTAAGTTTGCTTGTATTTGGAGAGCAACATGCTTCCCCTCTGCAGTTATCTGGATATTTCAGAAAACTGCTTGGTGTATTTCCCCCACAGACTAGTCTTGTCTCATAGAATTCAGACTGCATTCTGGCAAAGCAAAGGCCTACTGTTAGTTTTGCTGTTGAAGATACCTCTCCAGAAATAGAGCCACTAACTTCTTGCAATCCCATGCAAGTGACTAGGATCTCAGGGGTGCTACGTAGCCTAAGGTTGCTAATTTTCCCTATCAATTCCTGCCCAGGCCTTTAATAGTAGCTTTCCATTTTCTGCACAGGACTTATTTATTTCATCATGTGGCATACCTAATAAAGCATATACTAGGTTTTTGGGCTTGGTATGTCAAAAATTTCAGAAAATGCCTAACTTGACTCTGTTGGCTACTCTGAAAAAAGATAAACATTTTTCTATCTCTTCCACTCACATACACACTATTCTGGGCCATTCTTGAATAGTGGCACTCTGTGGGAGCACCAGGGCTGGGGTCTTAGGGCAACTCACTGTGGCCAACTCGACACATCCATCTTGCAGCGAGACTACTTGCCATGGGATAAGAGTTAAACTAATATTGAAGAAATGATGGAATAGAATCACAAAATAAGTAAAGGATGCAAAAGGAAGGACAAGATGAAATGTGAATGACAACAATTGAAATATTTTTATAATTATTTGAAATAATTTGAAATATTTTTATAATTATTTGAAATTGAATTGTTGTATTGTCCTGTGGTGAGTTGGCCACGGCGTGTTAGCCATGGTGACTGGGCCACAGCAAATTGTCTCCTGTTAAGGCTGGGCCTGAAGTAAAAGCCCAGGCCTCAACATCAGCCTAGTGTCACCATAAATCTCGGGGAACAAGACAATTGTCCCCATGGCTCAGCAACCCCAGGATCTGCGGTTCATGCTTACTTTCATGCACAATTTTCTCTGTTGACAGGCCTCTGTGGCCTACACAAGGTTGCTCTGGATTGCAGGGAGCCTTTATTTATTCTGTCCTAATCTTAATTTAAAAAAAAAACAAGCTATCCTTCACCCAGCTGTTCTGACCAGACACAACTGTTTTTTCTGTGTTGTGTGTTATTAGTTTATTACTGTGAGCTCAATCCCATTTCTGTGTAACTGACTTTAAATAGCTTAAAGAAGTCAATCAGCACAACCAACAGAATCAGAGCATCATGATAATAAGAAAATATTTACAATGATAAATGTCATCTACCCTCTCTTATACTCAGAAAGTCAATTGTTCCAGTAAGCTATATCCTTCCTTCAGTCCCCAAGTATTTTTGGGGGCGTGACAGGATGAGGGGAAGATCTTTAAAAGCTTTCCGAGTCTCATAAGGGAGCTGGAGTCTCTTACCAATCTTGATTGGTAGGGCTTCTCAACACAATCACTTTCCACATTTTGGGGCGGGCTGAAGCTAACTTAGAAAGACAGCAGATAAACTACCTGCTGCTCATACTTAACTTTAGTCAATTACCACTTTAATTTGAATTTGTATCTTCTATTCTGCTTCTTAAGACTATACTGGCCTTCATCAAGCAATTGAAAATTGGGATTTCAAGATAATTGAAAGTTTGGAACCTCACAGGGAACTGTTGAAACGAATTGAACCCACTATGCAGGACATTGACATCAAAGATATTCAATTCTACATGGATGACTGTCTCCTAATTCCGGAATGGGAAGAAATTCATCAGGTATTATTTATTTAAACTGCTTGATCAATAACACTCAGCCCATCTGCTCTATGCTGCCTCACTGTTAACAAGAAGCTCACATTATTTTAGCAGACAGCCCTGATTTTCATGTTACACAGGGTACTAATTCAGCATGATCAGAGAGCAAAAATAAAACCTATATCAATTCTTATCAGTTTGATTTCTATAAATATTTGAGAAGATGTTGATGTGGTCCAGGTTACAGGCTGGTATGCAAGGGAATTAAAATGCTTGAAGAAAGAAAAGAATAAATAGTGAATCTTAAAATTGGATTTGCTTATTTTATAGTCTTTTATTGTTACTCTGGGTGAGAAGATTTGTGAACTTTGCTCTGATCATTGATGTTTTCTTGAGTTTAGTTGCTTGTAGTTGGGTGTGTATCTTCTGATATTATTTTCATAAAATTTTATTGAAAGTTTTACAGAGAATATAAGAACTAGCTCAAATTAATAGCAATGGCACTTAGACTTATATACTGCTTCATAGTGTTTTACAACCCTCTCTAAGTGTTTTACAGAGTCAGCATGTTGCCCCCAACAATCTGGGTCCTCATTTTATGGACCTTGGAAGGATGGAAGGCTGAGTCAACCTCTAGTCCAGCGGTAGTCAACCTGGTCCCTACTGCACACTAGTGGGCGTTCCAGCTTTCATGGTGGGCGGTAGGGGTTTGCTGTAACTCTGCTTTATAAATTTTATAAAGTTACTTCCCTGCTTTATAAATCACCATTATTGTGGAACCGGTGGGCGGTTAGAAAATTTTACTGCTAACAGAGATACAAAAGTGCAGTCAGGCTACAATACTACATTCTAACCACTATGCCACAAAGGCTGTAATAAAGAGTGAAAGCAAGGAAGAAGAAAGTGAAAAGCAAAGGTGCAGAAAGAAAGGATAAAAGGAAATAATAAAGAAATTTCCAATTTCCCTTGCAACAAATATAAGTACAATTACAAAATTAACTCCTGCCCTGATTACAAAAGAAGATTCACTTTTCTATTCAGTTTTTTCCCTAATCTTCAAACCCACAAATTATAGCCACAAATTCTGCATTTTTTCTGTTTTATGTAAAAATTCCATAAAGAGTGGAAGTGAATCTTTTGAGTTTTGAAATACAATAAATAAGTACTCCCCCACTACCTCCTCTTTCTGATTTGCAGATTAAAACCATGAAAGGCAGAAAAGCAAGTGCAAGCAAACTGGTAGAATGCCTGTGTAGATCAGACAAAGAACATTGGCCTAAAACTTTCCAAATTGCACTGGATAGGGCTGGATGCGACACCCAAAGCAAATACTGGAATTTGAAAAAAGGTATTGTCATATCTTTGTTTTACTTCCCATTCAGTTTCTTTCTTTCTCTTGGAAGACTTCCAGAAAGAGAAAGTTACGAGAGGCAGAGTCACCAATTGGAATGTTAGTGTGCCTGTGTGTAGTGATGGTCATAATCGGGGGATCAAAACCCCTCAATTTTAATTTGTATGTGCCTTAAAATTGGAAAGGCGTCCATTGCCATGCTGTTACAGGTAGTCCTCACTTAAAAAGTCTAATTGGGACCTGCAATTTTGCCACTAAGTGGATCAGTCACTGAGTTGGAAATTACATGACTGCAACAGTAATTTCTGCTAGAAATAGACAATAGACTAGTTTACTGTCTTATATACATAGAAAGCAATGCATTCATGGTGGAAGACACAGGTGCATTACACAAATAGCTTCCAATATTCTCTTGAAATCCCTTCCTCTTCGATCTCTTTACTATACAAGTGGGGAGGCAGATGGGGGGGGTGTAGAAAAAAAGCAAGCAATTTCTGTAGGCAATCACTCCTTTACCTGACCTTTTCCCATTGCCCGTACAATCACATTGCTTTTGATGTGTAGAAAAGAAAGCAGCTTATTCTTGAAATCCCTTCCTCTCCAATCTCAACTAGTGTCACTTAGTGAAATGGGTGGGGGTAGAAATGCAATGAATATATAAACAAAGAATTATGTAGAAATGTCACTTGAGCAAGATTATTCAAATAGGTCCTTCCACATCATTTAAGATTGGAGATTTACAGTGTTTCTGCATTGATTAGAACATATTCATATTCATATTCCCAACAATATGCAGAATATGAATTTCTTATACAATCATTGAATTGGTGCTCAATATATACTCCAGTACAACATTTCCTATTCATATTGTCCTTCATTTATATCTGAGGAGTGCTTTTACAATAGACGTGCCAAGCAAAATAGTAATGAAAATGCAAAAATTGAATGGACTTCTCTATGTCACATTCAGATGATAATGCAGATGTTGAAATGGAAAATGAAGAGGAAAGCAGCTGTGTTTTTCAAATACAGATTTCTGAAGAAGCAGAATCTGATAATCTTTGTGGGAATTCATGTTCAGCTTCAGGTAAGACAGTTAGAAAACTACCTTGGGTTCAATTCTTTGCATTCTTCTAGGAAACATTTAGTACCTTCTCAAGGAAAGGATCTGTACTACCAAAAGCCATCGGGTCACTTATTTAGGGCAGAGGAGTATGACTAGGTGCCCACGGTGGCGCTTTATATTTCTTGAAAAATTTCAATGCAGCCCCTTGTAGATGAATATTGTGGCGTTTTCTAGTGTGATCAAATATAGAAATGGTTCATTACCAAAAGAATACTCATTTATTTTAAAATGAATTACATTTACCTTTAACGAAGTTTGAAGTACCAGCCACAGGCCAGTGAAGGCTCTTGTTCTGAAATAGCTTGAATGCAAATATGGTTGATGAAGCAAAAGCTCTTAAAAAGACTAGTGTACCTAGCACAAATTCTATGTATTTTCACCTCCGCATTTTTCTCTGGGAGGTATCTGTCACAGGCCTATATTAGAAAGCTTACAGGGTATTTTCTTGTTTTGAAAAATGTTACTTTTTGACAATTGAACATGGGGCATAAGCGCAATTTCTGCTCCTTGAATCAGACAAAAAGGCCTTCAGATTTTTATTTAGAATTGCTTCAAGCTTTAATCACCATGTTTAAATCAAGTCACTCAGCCTATAAACATGTTCACACATCATTGTACAAAATGTCACAGGAATGCAAAAGTTTTCACGTTATGTATGTTATGGTTTGTATGTTATGGTTATTTGCTTTTAATCAGTTTTGTGCCAGTCTAAATTAACAAAAAGAAAAAAGACATATGGAAGGTGAAGAAAACCAAGGTAAATTTGGACATCTACTCTTAATTGCTACCTTTCATAATGGGAAGCTATGATAGAGGAAGGTTCTTCAGAAATTACCAGCTGACACTATCTCTGCAAGAGCAAGTGATCTTATGTTCTTCCTCACAGGGAAATTACTTTCAATGGCCTTGAGGAGGAGAAGGTTGTTAAGTAAATTTTGCCCCATTTTATGGGTTTTTTTTCCCCAGCCACAGTTGTTAAGTGAATCATTGCAATTGCTCAGTTAGTAACACGGTTGTAAAGTAAATCTGGCTTCCCCACTGATTTTGCTAGTCAGAAGTTGCAAAAGGCGATTCCCACCTGACCCCGGGACACTGCAACCGTCATAAATATGAACTGATTACCACGCATCCAAATTTGGATCATGTGACCATGGGGAGACTGCAACTATCCTAAATGTGAAAAATGGTCGCAAGTGACTTTTTTTCAGTGCTGTTGTAACTTCTAACTGTAAACTGCTTAGAGAAGGCTGTGAAGCACTATGAAGCCGTATGTAAGTGCTATTGCTATAGTAGATACTCCATTTTACATGCCCATGCATATGTTGTATTTGGTATATATTACAATTTTTTCAATGTGCTTTTGTTCACTTGTTCTTCTAGCTATCTTCCCGCAGACCAGGTATGTTCTGAGGGACCCAAGGAGCTATCAGAGAGAACTTGCTGAACCTGCTCTTAAAGGCAAACATACCATGATTTGTGCCCCTACTGGTAAGATTATATTTCTCTGAACTACAGTGACCCTTAAGTAAGCTGCTTGCTGATAGGAATAAAAAAAGTTATAACTAAAAAGTTATTTTAGACTCTTTTTTTTTTTAAAAAGGAAAGGCTATAAGAAAAAATTCTGAGAGAAAAAAAGAAAACTCTTACATTTCTTTTTTCCCCCTTCTACTATGATGCAGATTTTTGAATGGTTTGCTAGTGCCATCGTCAAACCTTGATTATCCCTTTTAATGTTGAGTCATCTTTTAAGAAGACGATAATGCAGTCTTAGGTGAAAGAAATGAGCATTAAACTTTAGGGTGACCAGATTTTTTTTTTATCCCAGTGCTGGACAGTTCTGTGATTATCTACAGGGCGGGGCATAACCTTTTCCTAGGGGGTCACAGCAAGATCGACAGCAGTTTACAACTTCCGCGACACCTCATTTTAAAGCCCATAAAAAACTGAATTGAATGAGCTATTAAATGTTAAATTTGCTTTAAGAATGGCTGGAAAATTCGATTCGGAAGAACAAAGGATCATTGACAGAATAAAATGCATTGCCTTTCGAGAGGCTCGCGATGCTGGAGCGAATTTTGGGGCAATGACGTCTGGCCGGGAAATTCGCCAGATCTCAATCCGGCAGAGAACATTGGGGCCATAATTAAGGATGAAGTGGAAGCTCTGATGATTCAGGAGCAAGGTGGAAATCGATATTCGGTTGAAACTTTGAGAATGAATTTGGAAACTGTGTTGAAAAATCTGGAAAATCGAACGGAACTGTTTGAAGATTTGTTGTGTTCTTATCCACCTCGTTTGAATGCTGTTCGAAGGGCTAATGGTGGTCATACTGACTATTAAATCGTGTCAATAAACTCAGTTTTTGATGGGCTTTCGAATGGTGTATGAATTATTTGTGTTGTTATTACAAGTGTTGCTGTGACCCCCTAGGAAAAGGTTATGCCCCGCCCTGTACTAAGAGTACTTATCAGTGATGGCAAATCTTTTTGCCACTGAGTGCCCAAACTGCAATGCATATCCATGCATGTGCCTGTACTGGAGTGCTGGAAACCTGAACACCAGCTAGCTTGCACACATATGTCTGTTTTGGGGGCATTTTGGGATGTTTTGGGGGCATTTTCAGGCCATTTTTAGGTCAATTTTCAGCCTTTTTCAGGCCAAAAACTGCCTGCAAAAGGCCCTAAAACAGCCTGTTTTTTTGTCATTTGCGGGGCTGTTTTCAGGTCCTCTAGGACCCACAAAGACCAGCTAAAGGGTGCGCACCAGAAAGCAAAAGAGCAGTTGGTGATGGCACGCGTGCCCACAGAGAGGGCTCTGCGTGCCATAGGTTCGCCATCACGGGTATATATTATAAATGGAAAAATAGAAGGAAGAAAAAGAAACTTCAATAATAAGTCAATATTTACCTAAATAAATAAACACAATGACCATAGCAGGCAAAAAAGAAATGGGGAATGAATGGCTTCTGACTTCCTGCTGGCTTCTCCAATGACTTTGCTTGTGAGAAGCTGTTAGGAAGCATCTACCAACTTGTATCTTTAATGTAAGAAAGAAGAAATTTCTGGCATATTTAATTTGTGTATGTGTATGTGTGTGTGTAATTTATTTACTTGCTTATTCTACCTCATCTTGTGACTCTGGGCAATATAGAATGTGGAATTAAAAATGAAAGATATGAAGAATAGTATAATAATCAATTCGAAAACAATAAAAATATTTGTGTGGAGAAACCCTGAGGCATCAATCAGTGTCGTCAAAAGCTTGTTGAAATAGCCTTCCTGAATGTAAGAGGACAAAGTATCTTCTGATGTTTCAGAGACAACATGTTCCATAATATGGGCCCATCTTGTCTAATTCCCACAAGCTGCTCAAGGAGAAGAGTCTTTCAGTAGGCCTTCTCCCAGATGTCTGAACCAGACAGATAAATGTACGTCCGTGACATGGTCTCTGATACAGGTCGTCCTCAACTTACAACAGTTCATTTAATGACTGTTCAAAGTTACATTGGCACTGAAAAAAGTGACTTATGGCCGTTTTTCACAGTTACAACCTTTGCGGCATCCCCATGATCATGTGATCGAAATTCAGTTGCTGTGTTGCAGGGTCATGTGATCCCCTTTTGTGACCTTCTGGCAAGCAAAATCAGTGAGGAAGCCAGATTCACTTAACAACTGGGTTTCTAGCTTATTAACTGCAGTGATTCACTTAACAACTGAAGCAAGAAAGGTTGTAAAATGGGGCAAAATTCACTTTACAAATGTCTCATCAGCAGAAATTTTTGGCTCAATTGTGTTCGTAAGTTGAGGACTAACTGTATGTCGCTCATGGATCAACTTTCCAATCCCAGTTGTGATCTCCTACATGAGAGGACTATCTGTATGGACTTGCCAGCTTGTAATTCAAATTTTTAGGTCATTGCTACCAAATGTGTCCAAACAGCCTTTATTCATTTTTACAGGATCTGGGAAGACTTTTGTGTCTATTATGATATGTGAGCATCATCTCTGCAACAGGCCTGATGGGGAGAAAGGAAAAGTAGTCTTCCTCACTACAAAAGTTCCAGTTTATGAACAACAGAAGAGAGTCTTCCAGGAATACTTCAAAAATGAGTATGATCTTAGTCTGCCTTGGCAGATTTCCTGTTGCTTTCTAGTTCTAAAATAGCAATAGCACTTATATACCACTTCACAGTGCTTCACAACCCTCTCTAAGTGGTTGTACAGAGTCAGCATCTTGCCCCCAACAATTTGGGTCCTCATTTTACCCACCTTGGAAGGATGGAAGGCTGAATCAACCTTGAGCCTGGTGGGATTTGAACTGCCAAATTGCAGGCAGCTGGCAGNATTACAATACTATTTTTGCGTTGTATGAAAATTTTTGTTGCTCCGTATAAAATTTTGGGGGGGGAGAACTCGCTTACCTCGCCATCATCGTGAGGGCCACAGCTTCCCCCAGCCTCCCCCCCCCACTCTTTATTGATACGACAGCTGCAAAGTTTATTTCTGACTCGGCCAAGTTTGTCTCAATCAATTCGGAGACCAATCCAAATAGGGAAACAAGGCAAACGGCTCCGTTTCGTTTCCCTGCTCAGCCGCGCCCCCGCGAGCCGGTTTCGGTTTCCTTTTCCTCTGTTTCTCCGATGGCGTTTCCTGCTTTGGGAAAACTTCCTTCGCTTTCGATTCTTGATTCCTCTCGGCTGATTCTGAGGAATCGAGTCGGTCGACAGCGGAAGGTTTCGATTGGGCGGTTTGGCCCCTCCTCGGGAGATTGTTTTAAGCTGCTTCCCGACGCTGTTAGTTTCAGAACTGCGAGCAGGAGATCTTGCAGTCGGATTTGGACTTTTTATGGGGGTTTTTTGGGGTGTGTGTGAAAGAAAAACGGTTTTGTTTTTTGGGGCGGTTGAAAGAAAAACGGAATACGAGGAGAGGGGGAATAATTGCAAAGCCAGAAGTTTAAGGAGAAAGAGGAAAAATGACCGAGGCCGAACGAGAGAATTTGCTTCGCTGCCAGGATTATATAGTGAAGATTTTAAATCCTGCTTATATATTGAGCTACATGAAAACCTGGCTGTCTGACGGTAAGTAGGAATCGCCCAAGTTTTCTATCAAAGTCGTGTTTTGTTCTGATGTCCCCAACTGGACGCTCTTCAGGAACTGAAGTATTATGAAAAAAAACCAGATGCTCTGACCATCGGGCGTGCTGGCTGGCCCGATGAGAATTGTAATGCAACATTGGGAAGGCATCAGACTGGGAGAAGTGGTTTACCAGATGCATTTTATTTACACTTAGGACGAGGGATTTGTTAAGCGACACCCTCCGTGTCATCTAGCCCAGAATACCCGTGGCCACTGTTGACAGGAGTGGCTCTCTTCGGACGTTTTGGAGAATATTCGGTTCAGATTTTTAGAATGGAGAAACAGATACCCAAATTAAAAGCAGATTAATTGAAAAATGCCTCCCCCCGGTGAATTATGTTATGACCAGGCGTGTCAATTAATTGGTTGACTTAAGAATCAAATCACTTGCAGTTACATGGAGATGTTGCCTGCCTACGCAGAAACTTCCCAGTGATGCTTAGAAACAGAATGAATAAATTAAAACGCCAGCTGAAGACATCCTTTTAAGGAACCCTACTGCTTTTCTTTTTAATTGTACGTCTGTACGTCTTTCTCAAACATGATCGGATGGTAATTAAAGCAACATAATTTAAGAGCACAGATCTACATATTGATTTCATTTGAGGCATTGACTATGACTTTTCAGGAGAGGTTGGTGATGGTTGGACAGAAAGACGATGAAAGGAAAAATGTTTTTGTGTAGCTAAGGTTCAGCAAAGATGTTCTACAGCACAGGAACTATTTCGCCCACTGCTTCTTAGTCTTGGTTTTGCAGAGAGAAGTCCGACTAAGCGGGCTCGGGCATTCAGAAAGATTGTGTTGAGCCATGCTTCTTGCACGCGTTTTGCGGCGTATTTGCATACAGTATTTATTACGCATGCTCGGATGCTAATTAAAGCGACATAATTTAAGAGCACAGATCTACATGTTGATTTTACTCGAAGCTATGCCAGCTTCGCAAGCGGCTTGGTTGACTGCATCGAGATGATGTGGCGAGAGAGGGGGGCGGGTGTTCTTCCCAGCAAGAGCTGCTCCTCTTTGTAAGCATTGCGACTCCCCACCCAGCAGGCTCTTTTTTCGGAATTATCTTGATAACCAGGAGGGGGAAGCAGGGCACTATTGGCTGAAAGCAGTTGAGGAGGCGGGGCAAGAATCCTGCCAGCAGATGGCACTAAAACCGTTAAGGCGCGCTCGTGTCCTGCCTGCTTCTGACAGTTTTTCTCCCTCTAAAAATTGCAGAATTTTTCGTCTTCTACTGGAAGAGAAATAAGCAATGGCTGTCTGGAAATCCAAAGTAGATTTCATTATTTGAAATAAAGAAAGAGATTGAGACATGTCCTGCATAAAGTCGTGGTCTTTCAGAATGCACAATCTTGATCAAGAGCTCCACAAAGTATCTCATGCAAACTATCTTTAATTTCACCTAATCCATATACTTCTAAATGCATTACCTTTTACTCTTTAAACTTACCTCTGCAGGAGGGTTCCATCATTTCCATCTAACTCTGATGCCCTCGGGTTTCCTTTTGTCACATTTACTCTCCAAATATTTATAATCTAATTCTTCTATTCTTTTTATAACCCTTAATTCACTTTTAAATACAATTCACATTCATTCAGAGCCCAAATGGTTAGGTTCAAAGGATTGATGTTTGGAAAAACGATCAAAATTGAAAAATGCTTCAGTTTCACTATAAAGTTTTTCTAATTTAATATAATTAAGTTTAATGACATACCCTTTGTGTCAAAGTACTTATGAGGAGATATCAGTGTTAATTCATTTACTTTACTTTCACTTCCTCTCTCCTCCTCTAACCTTCTCTCTCACTCTCATTCCTTTCAAGTCCCAGTCATTCCCATGCCGCAGACATCATCAGATGATCCAATAGATACTGGTTCCAGTCTCCCATCACAAGAGACCTAATCCCAGTTTAACTTCATGAGTGGTCATCCTAGTCTGTGCATCCAAAGATTTTTAGTTTAGTTTAGCTAGTAAACAAGGGTGTACGGACATAGAATTCTTCGATTTTTTTCTTATAATAACAACTCTGTCAAATAGCTAGGCTGAGAGATTTCATTGGCCCAGAGTCAACCTTGACAACTGTATAATATTGCTTATGTTGATGAAGACTTAAAATACTAGAACCAACAAGAATTCAGAATAGATTTATCACTGATTAATTTAATTATATATTTCAGCAATTGGAAGAAAGGTTCGGTAGAGCAATGCCTTGCCAGGCATGTGATTCAAGTTACCTTAAAAGTTTAGTCTTACATAGAAGATTTATTTATTTATTTGTTTTGTCAAGTGTATCTAAGATAATAGATATAAGTATATACAAGATTATGAATACACAAAATGGATACAAATAAATGGGGTTGTTAGGACAGGGACAGTAGCACGTTGGTGCGCTTATGCATGAAGTGTACTCAGTCATATGTTCAAAGTGCTTTGTAGTTGCTGTAAAACCTTATCCAATGATAACAACTAAGAGAGTGTAATTGAGAAGGTGAAGAGATTCTGGCTGGTCAAATATTAGTATTCCGTAGGTCTAATGCGGGTCAAACTTGATTTCATTAATGGCTGCATCAGGGTTGTATTTTACCTCGGAGGGCCGGGGATGGGGGCGTGGCTGGGTGGGTGGGTGTGGGCATGGTGGTCATAGCCAGGAGTGTGGGCATGGTGGATGTGAAAGGCGGCTCGTGTCAGGGCCACCCCTGGTGGCCAAGTGCTAAGGCAGAACTTCCACCAGATTCTTCCTCCCTCATAATCTCCCTGCCTGCCTGCCTTCTTTCCTTCTTTTTCCTTCCTACTTCCTTCTTCTTCCTTCTCCCTTCTCCTTTTTCCTTCCTTGTTCTCTTCCCATCTTTTCTTTTTTTCCCCTCTTTCCCTTTCTCCTTTGCTGTCCCTTCTTGCATGCTCAAATGCAAAAGGGGAAACATTTTTCCTTTTGTTTTTAGTTTGTTTTGATAACCCTCTGCCAGTGAAAAGAGGCCCCCCCACGCCTGGCCTCCCTGCACCCCATTTTCACTGGCAGAGGTACCGTGGACCAGTCCTTTGCTGTTCCAGGGCATCCCCGCAGACCAAACCTAAGCACCTCACGGGCAGGATCTGGCCTGCGGGCCTTGAGTTTGAAACCCCTGGTCTAACACAACCAGACTGCAAAACACCAACTGTCCATTATCTAGACATAAAGAGATACAGAAAATGCTTCATGGCCGTTCAGTATTTGAAGTTATGATGGTGCTAAACAAATCTTACTTAATGCCTGGTCTTTGAAGTTATGGGTCACATCATCCATGTGTTCAAGAGATCAAAATTTAGCACTTGACAACCTACCCACATTAACCTCAGGATATGCTTCAATGTTACCCACTCACCTATTCCCCTGTCTCTGCTCTTCACTATTCTTGCCATCCCTAGTTGACCTTTGTTATTGACTTCTTCCCACTGCTGAGGAGTTGGACAAGGCTAATTGCTACAAGGTAGTGGGAAGACATGCAAATGGGAAACTAGTCAGACATAGGAGGGATTGCTTACAAAAATTGCTTTTCCTCTCCACAAAGTGGAGAGATTAGAGAGGAAGAGATTACAAAAGAGTAAGCAAACACCCAGTGGGGAATATACAGGCTGTTTCCATAGTGTGCTAGAGGCTGCCAATGCCAGCACATTGTTTTTGATATGTATTCTCCTTGTACGCCTTCTTACTCTCTTAAAACCACTTCCTTCCCAATTCTCAACTCTTAAGGGGGATGGGAAAAGAAAAACAACATATTTAGTCCAGGCCAATGAATATTGACTATTGGTAACCACATTATTGAGGGGACAGCATTTTTTGCAACTTTCAATGGATGCTGAGGGAGGCAGTCAGTAGGTAAGAACTACTTGTAATGTGTTTTCAATAAGCAAGCAGACACACACATACAAATATTTTCTAAATAGCAGTAGAATGAATTGCCTTTGGGTATGTGGCAAACAGAATCATGGGCCCTTGGAAAGGTAAAATGGAAAAGTTACTTTACTGTGAAAGTCTATTGATTGGCTTTGAACCTTAAGGTGAGAAATTTATTGCAACAGTTTTGTCTACAATCTGATTTCATTCTAGAGATTGTGGAGCAAATTCAAGAGCAAAGCAACCGACCAACCAAGGCAGCAGAACTCTTTCTTCAATCTATTCTACAGCTCAAAGTGGATGGATGGTTCCGTGCTTTTATGGATGCACTGCATGCAGCAAGTAAACTAAAACTCATCTAAAATGCATCTAAAACTCTAATAAGTGGTTCTACAGGGCGGGGCATAACCTTTTCCTAGGGGGTCACAGCAACACTTGTAATAACAACACAAATAATTCATACACCATTCGAAAGCCCATCAAANCTAATTTTGAAGTTTTAGATTGAAGGCTTAAACATGGTTGATGATGTTCTGAGAAGTATCTGTCTCTTTTCTTGCAGATACGACATTGCAGGCATCTGTGGGGAAGATGGTTCCTCGAATCCTGCAGACATGGTTATTAAGCAGAATGATATTATTGTCATGACGCCCCAGACTCTTTTGAACGCTCTGAATAATGGGACAATTCCTTCTCTTTTAATTTTCACATTGATGATATTCGATGAGTGCCACAACACTACGGGGAATAACCCATATAATATGTTAATGTTTAAGTATTTGGACCTTAAACTGAAGCAAGGTGCATGCTCATTGCCTCAGGTAAGATAATACTGGGAATGTTCTCATGTTGGTAAAAGTAATATGTCATTGTTAGTAAGTTGTGTATCTCAGGGGTGAAATGCTACTGGTTTGGACCGGTTCAGGTGAACTGGTATTTCCGATGATCAGCTCAACGATGATCAGCTGTGATGCACGATTTATATTAGCTAGAAAAGTAACAAAAATGTACATCTTCTAAAACTTCTAAATACCATGATGGAGTATTTTCCTGTAAAGAATCTAAGATATTAGTTTAAATTGTCATTATTTTATAGGAGACGTGATGGCTCAGAGGCTAAAACGCTGAGCTTGTCGATCAGAAAGTTTAGCAGTTCAAATCCCCAGCACTGCATAACGGACTGAGCTCCCGTTCCTTGTCCCAGTTTCTGTCAACCTAGCAGTTCGAAAGCATGCAAAAATTTAAGTACAAAAATAGGAACCACTTTGGTGGGAAGGTAAAAGCGTTCCGTGCGCCTTTGGTGTTTAATCATGCCGGCGAAATGACCATGGAGACGTCTTTGGACAGCCCTGGCTCTTTGTCTTAGAAACGGAGATTAGTCCTCCTAGAGTTGGGAACGACTAGCACATATGTGCAAAGGGAACCATTGCCTTTACCAGTATTTCTTTGAGTAAGAGGTTATTTCTCTTCTGATTTCAATTGATCTCTGCCAGAAAACACTATACTGTAAGTAGCAAATTAAAATAGTGAAAATAGGAAATAATGAAATAACTGCCTCTTTTTTTCCTTCTTGTTCTTTCTTTTCATGTTTTACTGCCGTAATTGATGTGTAGTACTTCTGCTTTAAAGTGAATGTGAATGTATTTTAATTATTCAGATTGTAGGATTGACCGCTTCTCCTGGCATTGGCAGTGCAAAAAGCGTAGGTGAGGCCATAGACTACATCTGCAAGATTTGTGCTTCACTGAATATTGAAGTGATCTCAACAGTCAGAAAGAACGTAAAGGACCTAGATGAAATTGTTCATAAACCTGAAAAAAGTGAGCCTGCATTCTAATTCTGTCCTTTGAAATACAAGTAGTCATTTTTTTAAAAAAAAGAGTACATGTAGTTCTTCAGTTTAATGACCATACTTGGGACTGGAATCTAGTTGTTAAGCAAAAGGGTCATTAAGTGAGACAACCACATGGATGCTTCAGTGAGGGACTCTAATTGCAGCACTGCTGGTTGCAGTCAGTAAGTGATATCAGGTCATTAAGCAGAAGGATTCTCAGGTTAAGGTTATTTGATGGAGAGGAGCCCTTCAGGGTGCAGAAACAGAGCTAAAATCCTAAAGATTTTAAAACCCTGATGCTTTTAGCTCCTTTTCTGGAGCCCAACAGAAAGGAGGAGAAATTCATTGCAGGCTGGAAATCTCATCTTTGTGGGGACAGAGCTGAGATTATCCCACGGCAGGCAGGCAGCTCCCAGAGATGAGAGAAAGTACCCTCATCTTGCAATCTTCCCTGCAACTTCCCCACTGACTTTCTGGGGAAGCCAGCAGAGAAGATTGCAAATGGCAATCCTGTGATTGCAAGGCACTTAACTGGTTGTAAGTGTGAACAATTTGCCAGGCACCCAAGTCAAGATCATATGACTCTGGAA